TTAACTTTCTTTACTTTTAAAGACTACCATATGGTGTCAACTGTAGTCTACATGTACCTGATCTTAATTATTATTAACTGCCATAAACTTTTTTTATTTGTAGATGACTACAATACATGACCAATTGGCCCTCAGAAGAAATAGCCACAATTCCATTTAAACACCCCGCCCCCCTCCTCCCACGGCGGGAGGGGGGATGCCCTTCCGTACAGTTAAGTCAATAAATTTTCAGAGCACAAGGTTATGTATTAAATACATGTGATTTGAAGAGCAGACAACTTGTTAATGGAGGTACTTTTCCACAATATTAAAGAAAAGATCATGGCATTTGCTAAGAACTTTAACTCACCAATATAACTCATGGGACATTGCCACACATAGAGCAAAGTCTCAAATGGAATTCCCGGAATGATTTGAGAGGTCCACTCCGGAAAGGATAAATCAACTATTTAGTACATGTCTGAGGTCTTGGTGGATCATGTCATGGTAAAGAACACCTACAAACAAGAATGGCTCTAGTCAAACACCTGCAAACAAGAATGGGTCTAGTCAATTGATGATAGGTAAGCAATTTTGAACAGCCACTTCAACAGGAGAGAGAGGTTAAATTCTTGGTGTTTTAAAAGATACCTAGTTGTTTAAAAGAACGAACAATATTTCATTTCGCAAAGCCAGTTCTCCCGGCTAGTTCCTATTCTCCCTTCCAAGAAATGCCCAGTGATTATGGTTATAAGTTCAATCACTAGTTGAAGGTGGAAATACAGGATATATTAGATGGGAATGGAAGAGGGAGGAGAATAAGTCTACTGCCTCTAGATAGTACTTGATCTTCCAAATTGAAAGGAAGCAATCAATTCAAGTAGAGGTTATCATCTAAAACAAGTTTGGGTTTAGAGTTGAGAAGTCACCACACTCTGAACCTATCGATAATTCACCAATTATAGAAATCAAGGTATGTGACAATTGGTCACAAGTTCCTCCAGATTGTGAAGCCTAACTTCATTCTGTGCAATCGAAGTATATTTCTATGCATATTTCACTAGCATTTCTGTACGTGCATAATGCATGTACTAAAAGGATAATAAATTATAAAAAGTACTTTGTATATGAGTGTTTTTGCTGGATCTCTACTATGAAAACATCAAAAGCTTATTTATTTTGAGGGTTAATCTGAGAAAGAATGAGATTTCGTGAATGTTTTTGTAATTCATTTTTAATTTACTTTTGTTTTTTTTAACCACTAATAAGGCATAAGTTATATTGAAGTTGAGTAGGTGATTTTTTAAAAGTAAAAAAAGAAACAACTGCCCTTTAATAGTTTTCAATGGTATCATTACTAATATATCTTCAGTAAATCATTGAAATTATTTTTATAGATATGCTAAACATAGAGATGTACACTTGTATTTTTATTTTGAAAGAATTTATTTCTTAAAGTATTTCATTATAGAAATTTAAAGTTTTTGTTAAGATTTTGTTTGACCTATTATGTAAAATATTTAAGTAACATGTGAGAGGATGAAGTGACATTTATTTATTCTGTGAGTGGAAGGTATCTCTATAAGTCTATATGCGCCCACCACTCATACATATTTTCTCCTGCCCTCACTGCTTCGATTAAAGATTAGTATAGATAACAACAATATATATGGTTGAATTTGTTTAGAGAATTTTAGTTTGTTCGGAGAATTGTAACTTGTTTGAAATTCTAGTTTAGTTAGAATTTGGACTTTTGGTTCTACTTAAGTTTGAGTCGTATGGCCTACAAGTATATATCATTGGATTAATTTTTTTCTTTTTTGATTAATTGAGGTTTATTAATCATGTTGAAATTTTGCATGTTAAATGCTTGATTCATACATGGATGCAAAACACTAATCTTCTATCCCTGCTGCAGTCCATTTCGGGGTTGCAGAGGATGTTATATAATTTTATGGTAAGTTTGGTCAGTGAAGTAATTGAGATTCAGGTGATTTGAGTGTAGCTAATTGGCCTAAGTGGCCAGCATGGAAGGTTTCTGAAAGATTGTATCACTTAATTAAGAGCCACAGACTGGCTAGTATTATGGCTAAAGCATAGTTGGTATCCAGTGGTAATTTGTCATAACCTGAATATGAAGGGAAGGCTGGCAATTATTGTTTGGAACAATTGACATACTCTTAATTTTGGTACCAGTAACCAACGTTTTGTCTAGTTCGAACCCATCGATGCTATCAAGCATTGTTCGGTTGGCCATTTTCTCATTGTTTCAAGAACAGGTTAATTTCTGTATGTCTTTGTTGTCCTCTATTTCTCTTTCTTTTAGTAAGGGCTCCCACTATTTGCTATACAATTAATTTTTTTGTTCTGAAACATCTAATTTGGATTTCAAGTGGCACTGGAAAATTTCTGCTGTACATTTCTGTAATTAATAGTTTATTTTGTTGACGTTTAAGAACGAAGAAATTTGTCTCTCGTAGCCACTTGGAGCTTTTGTATGAACGAGGTTCCTTGATAATTTTTGAATATTTTAATGTTCATGCAGTCTTCAGGAGCAAGAAGCTTGCACTGTAGAAGATGTTGACTGGGACAATCTTGTTGATGGACGGTAATGTTCTTGCTAGCAAGAAGCTTGCACTGTAGAAGATGTTGACTGGGACAATCTTGTTGATGGACGGTAATGTTCTTGCTACCTTTCTCAATTTTTTGCTTACAAGTTTTCCATTAGTAAAAAGAATAAAATATCATCTAGTTATATTTTTACTGCTTATTGTCACTTGTGTTTCAAGTAGATGAGTACAGCTGATAACTGCAGTTATTCATGTATTGTTAGGTCAAAAACTCCTTCCCACACTTGGTGTCTGGTTAACCGCCAAAAATAGAAATATGAGTTGATTATTGGGGTCAGAATAGATGTAGCATAGACAACTCTCTGTGATTTGCAGGACGACCTTTAAATATTGCTTTGTGCCTGCTAATACCATTTATGATGTCAAAATTTACTGAATTCTTGTTCATGCTAAGAAGGGTGGTCACATGTCTTTTCCAAATTCTTAAACCTTGTTCAGATCCGAAAAAGTTATTGAAAGGTGCTACCAGGAGATCGAACTTCCAATATAAGAAGAGGTGCAAATAATTGCTAGACCTGTGCTGTTTCTTTTTGATCTGATAAGGTCTGGCAATGTAAACCACACAACAGAGAAGTATTACTATCCTGCCTTTTCTTGTCCAATTCAGATGCACATGCGGAGGCTGTGTCAAATTCACAAACACTTGGATAGTAATAGCAGCAACCTCTGCAACTATCTTGCATAACATTGGAATTAGCATGGGGTCATTCATGAAAGTGAGCTATAGTATTTATAACCGTACTGGCATTAAAAAACGTGCAAATGCACATGCAACCGATATTATTAAAACTTAATTGTTCTAATATTTATATAAAAAGGATCATTTTAATACCCTAAAGTATCAATAGATATTTCTTAGATCTTTTTATGATATTTGCTCATTTAATATGCGATATTTAATCTTAGCTTATTTGAAAATGGTTATGACATATTTATATTGGAATATATTGAAATTCTAATTGTTGTTTTTGTTGTATTTATTTACACGAAAAATAACTTTATTATTTCATATTATATCTTTCTAGAATATACAAAGTAATAGAAATTTATTAGTAAGCTCTATGATATGCTTTCTAAAGTTCTAGAAATAAAGAAAGAGAAAAGAACAAAATTGTGCGAAATGACCAAACCGTCCTCGTGTCTTTAGCGAGATGGACAATTTACCATGTCCTACAAACTTTTTGTCTTTAGCGAGATGAATGACAATTTTACCATGACGTTCTTCCAACTTTTCCTACCCTTACTAAGTTTAATATAATAGTATAGATTATTATATGATGTTATTGTTATTGTTATGGTTCATATTCATATTCAGCTGAAGGCTATGCCTTGTCAGATTCTAAATCACTCTAAGAAGGTGCAAATAATGCTGGAGTACACCTCCTTTTCGATTGCCTTGGGTTTGACATTAACCAGATAGCTGAATAGAATTCTATTTTTTTTCTTGTACAATTGGATATACATTCAGAGACAGGCAGGTACCAATTTACAAGTCACCAAATTATTCTAGGATAAGTTTTGCACCCAAGCCGTAACATGCGGATTAGCATCCCACGATTCTTGGGTGATTGATAAATATCTTTATAAGGTACTGCCATGGTTCATGCTAATATTCATTGTTTTTATAGCTATCAATCTATCTGACAAAAACTGTTTTTCATTCCCTCTCTGTTCACTCACCTCTATTTTGTCAGTTACATTTGATTCTTGTATGAACCTCGTTTCTAACTGTCGACTATCGCATGCTATAACTAATTTTTTGTCACATTAGAGCCCAAAATCTTTATTAATTCATATTAGACCCTCAAATCTTCATATCCTAAACTAGGCCTGCAAATGAGTCCATTATGTTGTTTTAAATAAGATCCCCAAATCCATTTAAGTTGTTTAGATGAGTCCCCTACATCTCAAGTTTGTCTTAAATAAGACCCCTAAATTGATTAAGTTGTTCTACGTAAGACCACATTTCATAGTGGGCATCCAATTTATAAATATTAAGATTTGAGGGTCGAATATGAGAAAAAATCTGTTCATTTTTTTTCCCTTCATGCCTTTTCATAGTCCTGTGGCATGTTTCTTATGATAGTTTTTATTCCTACATGATATATTGTGGCAAACATATATGGCGTGAATAGCATATTCATTTATTGATATAATGATAATTTTCTCTACTTTTTTGTCCCTGTTGTTTTAGCCTCTAATCTCAATTAAAATCAGCTCATGCGAGATTCTAATCTTGTTTTGTCGCGTATCAAAGGCCTGGAGAAGTTTGCGAAAGAAGGTGGGTAGAAATGGTAAGACACATTGGTGGATATCGGGAGAGGCCATTCATCGAACAACTTGATGTTCTCAGCAAGCGTTACTGTGGAGATATGCTCGAATATAGATTTAAGCAACATGAGAAGGAAGAGGAAGGGACAGAGAGAGAGAAAGAGAAAGGGAAAAAGAAAGGGAACGTTTTTTATTCTTATAATTGTGTATGACCTTTGAAATGCATTCTACTTTGCATCATTCTGGACTTCTGGTTGATGCCCCTCAGTCTAAACAGCAAGCCAAAAAAGACCGGATTGTGTATGAGATCGTTGCTGGCTCTTGTTCTGTTTCGTCTCGGAGTTTATTTTGGGTGGGTTTTCTCTTAATTTTTTTATTTACAGTTGTAGCTGGAATTATAGTTTTCTTTGTTAGGGTTTCAATAGAAATTTTCTTGGGTGTAAATTTGGTTAGTTTGTAATTGAGGCATATATTCAGCTACCTTACATTAGTACTAACTCATTCAGATTGGGGTTTTGGCTTGCGATCTGATGTGATTGCCTTAAGTTATATTTGGTGGTATTTACCATCAATTATTAAACATTTGGCATTATATTTCTTTATTTTCGTTTCTGATTATTCGCTTTATATAAAAAAAATAAAATAGCGGGATTACAGTCATAATTGTGAAGGGGTGAGTGAGCATCAAAGGCATTAATTTGTTGTTTATTTGGTCTTGTTTTTGATAGTTATTTGGTCTTTATTGTTGTTGTTATTATTATTATTGATAATCCAGTCTGAAATTCAACTTAAGATCGTGAGAGTATTATTGAAATATACATACCCTCTAAGTCTCCTAATTCTCTGAGTCAACTTGTGGTGGGTTATTTGGTTTTTATTAAACTAAGAGAGAAGGATATATAAATGTTGGTCATATTGTGGGATCCAGGAAAACAATTTTAGAACTAACATTATTGCATTGCAATGGATGTGAGAACTTAATCATCTCAAAATTTATATAAAAGTGGCATTTATATTAAAGTTTCATCAAGTTTTATCGATATATTTATGATATTTTTTCATTCGTGATGAGTTATTGCCTCATTTGAAATTGGCTGTGACAAATATTTCAATTTCTGTGGTGACATTATATTCATAAAAGAAAATAGGGTTCATTCAGATGATGTTAATAAGAAGAGTATGTTTCATATTATATCTTAGAATTATTATGTTTAATTGTTTTTCACCGATTTATTTTGATTTTCGATGATATCCAATTGTTGTATTTATATTCATTTATATCTAATAAATTATTTAGAAAATAACTTTATCATTTTATATTTATATCTCTTACAGCACAAATTATGACAGATATTTAATTAGTAAGCATTAATTATATACTCATATCAAAATTTAGAAAGTTTTAGAAAAAGAAAAGAGAGAAGAAAAAAAAAGGAAAAAAAAAAAGAACTATAGCAAAATTAATTATACACTCCTCACGCTTCCATCAGGATGTAAAATGTGCTTCAAGCTTTTGGTATCCCCACCAAGTTATTAAAAATAGTATAGATATTGTTATCTTAATAAATTTGATATGGAGGGGACAGGTGGAAGTTGGAAGAGGATGGCCCTCTTAATTGTTGTAGTTGATTGGATCGAGCTCTAATGTAAAGTGGGTCCCACTTTCTTTGCTCATATATCTTTAAAGAAAAATGATTTAGGGGCTGTTTGGTTGTTGTTGGTAAAGTTGTGTATTTATGACACAACTTGGAAAGTTGTTGTCCACCTCATCATTTTCACTTTTACACTTTTCTTTGTTTGTTTTTTATTCCATTGGAATCATAAAACACTTGTTTGGTTTGCAAAATAAAACTTTAATTGTTTGTTTGGAAAGTGTAAAAAGTGGTCCCTACTCAAGTGATCATATTGGTTGAAATTACTTTTTCCTGACTTCAATGTCAGCTTTCTCCTAAAATCATGTCTTTTTTTTATGAAATCACTTTACAAGCCACATAAGCATATGAAACCACTTTACACTATTTTCACAATTACAAACAAACAATTGAAAGTGATGAAAGCTGACATTGGGACCCACTTTTTTACACTTTCCATCATTTTACATGGTAAAAACATACAACCAAACGGGCCCTTAAGGATCCAAAATATAGGACCAAGAGAGGGGACATGTGAGGTGTCCCCCTCTCTATTGCATAATGAGTTGACCATACCAACTCATGCTAACTCATTATGCAATAGGGAGGGGACACCTCACCTGTCCCGTCCCTTGGTCCCATATTTTGGGTCCCCGTAGCAGCACTCATCTTTAAATACTTTGGACATAAGAATTACCATTTGTCAATTTCAGACTATCGACTTTCTATAATTTCTTGTTTGTTTTCCACAATCGATGTGTATAATTCTTTGCATTTAGACCACGAACTTTCTGTTAGAAATTTAGACCGTGTTGCATACGCAAAGTAAACAATAACAACGAAAAATAAGTATAAGCACAAGACATCAATTTTAATGTGGTTTGGCAAATTGGCTACATCCACGTGACACAGATCTCTAGTTTTTTCTTATAATGAAAGAGATAATACAGATACAACAGAACTGAAGATAAAACAACAGCGACTATAAGGATAATACCCAAAACGATGTTTTTTACAAGACCGAGAAAGAAACACGATAATACGTTCTATTGTGAAAGTCACCGTACACTGACTTTCTCGCAACTCCCGCACCGAATGCAAAGCCGCATAGTCATTCTCCAACTATGTGGTCTCTTTCTCTTCAATTTCTTGCACCGTGTAATTCTTATAGCAAACCTTACTATTTATAGCTTCCTTCTTTTGACATCCGAGCAACATGAATGAATCTCCACCGTAGAATTAATTGACTTGTTCAACAAGTAAACTTCTTAATTTAGTCATTGCCATAATTGTTCAACTTGGAGAGCAAGTAAAATCTTCAATCAATTTCTCAATATTTTTTTATTCTTTTTGAGTGAAACGGTGGGAAAATTCCTTGTGTACCATTAATAAGAGATTAGGGGGGAAAATACCTTAGCATAATTAAAGTACACTAGCATTTTAACACTGAAACGAATTTCACTGACAAAAGGAATGAAATATTGCAATGTGAAATATGTTTTAAGGTACATTACAGTGCTGCTTTTTGGCT